TAGTGAGACCATAAGAACGTCCATTATTGCATTAAACATGGTTCAATTAACCCCTGAACAGAGAACATTCGTAATCAAAACGTTTTACGAAACAAGTATCTTTGCAGAAGACTCGCGGTGCTTTTGGATTGATTAACTTTGCATAATTAAAGTATTTTTAATTCCCAACGGTAGAAGAATGTGATTTCGACCGAAAATTTTTATTTGACCAGTATGTGGCCATTTCTCATCGTTACGGTTTAAGAAATATATCATAGAAAAGCTAAGTAACAGCTCTTTCGTCCTATGTAAAAATTGAATTGTTTAGCTAAGTTTGTGATGCACAACAGCCTGTTAAATTTTCATAGCGTTTTTTTAAACACCATGTATAGCTTCATGTTGAGACCCGTCGGAAAATTGTCAATGTTGTCGGAATCTTCGTGGTGAAGCATCGGAAAAAGTGATACGGAAATTGGGAAAAGTGCTACGAAAGCAATTGTAATGTTATTGTCCTGAAAAATTGTGAAATTGTCATAACTGTGAAATTGTCATATCAACTCAATGGCTAACCAAATATGGATTTTTCACATTCATATTAGCAAAATGACGTCAAAGAGTCAATATGAAAAAAATTTGGACGCGTTTGCGCTATATTACTATGACGACGATGATGGACTCGCTGACGCCATTGATATGACGACGGCTGCCGAAGGACTAGGGAATTGTTTTTTTTCTTAATACAAATAAAATACAAATGGCTTCCGTTTATTTTGAATTTTTTAAATAAATAATAAAACAATTATTGAATTCGGTTTTCGCACAATATGAAGAATTATCAAGCCCTCAGTTTCCCATTATCAACCATAATTCTTCATATCGTGCTTAACCTCATTCAATAATTGTTAATTATCTAACGCTTTTGACATGTTTGGCTTGCCATAGTGTACTAGAAAACAAAAAAATCCATTGAACAAAAATTTGGAAATAAAATAAAATGATAACCATTGTACTTTTATAGACGATCTACAAGATCCAGGGTATATTTACGTTTCCTACATCTCGGAAAGTAAAGGTCACACCGAGAAAGTTGTAGATTTCAGTAATTGGTTTCGAAAACATGGATACGATGTCCAAATGGACATTATGTCGACTCCAAGCAATCAGGAAGATCTAAAGGAATTGGGACGACGAAGATGGGGTGAAAAGCAACTATTGCGAGCGAAAAATGTTTTTATCATTCTTTCACCACCTTATTTGAATCTCTGTCGTCTTGATGAAGGTAAAACTGACGCATCGTCTTTGACACAGGAAGAGAAAATCATTTATAGCGAGATTACACAGATACGTAACGAACTATCTTCTACAGCTTACATCAGTTCTCGTTTTATTCCTGTGCTGTTTGGTGTAAAAGAGACAGAACTACCATTTTGGATCAAGCAACTTGTTGTGTACAGCTGGCCAGACGATAAGATGAATAATAAACTGTTGTATCGTATTAATGAGGAAATCTCATACGATAATGCAGCCACGGATAGCAGAGCATAGCTATATATAGGCTATGGTATATTACTCACTATAATTATCCATTCCTTCCTGTTTCTTTCACTCGTTCAATCATAAATTCCAGTTTGTTTCAACTCCCATTTTTACATTGTTAAAGAAGCACATGCACTGAAGGATAAGGAATGAATAAGAATGATCACCGAGTCTCTAAAGGAATTAATTAGTGCGGGCGGGGCACATTTATTTAAAGTTAATGCCGTCGTTTGCATCAAGACATGAAATGTCCAAGATAGAATCATTGTCTAAGAAATACTTTCACGTGTAAAATTCGTGAATAATTACTAAGTCTACACACGAATCACTCAATCACGGCGCGGTATTTAGGTCACCCGTTTGTACGGCATGCGCAAGTCGCAATTAAGATCATAAATCATATTAGGCCGGATAGATAGTTTCTAGGCTGGACGTTTTCTATCAAAAATCAAAAACCGTAGGGCTTAAAAATCATTGCATGCATTCTGAAAGATAGGAAAGAGCTGTAACAACTATATAACAGACTGTTCATGCAAACTTAACGCCACTCATTAGTGTTATTCTTCTGGACTGAGGCGCAATGCGGCAACCAGGGGGGGAAGGCGACGCCTCCCAATCTCGTAGTATTACAGCTTTGTCGGGCAATTTTAACGGCACGCTCGTCGGGCAAAAAATATGTAATTCAATATGTAATTCAGCGGAAAATTTTCCATAATGTTTTGAAAAGTAATAATTGTAGGAAAAATTTTTATAAATTAACGAAAATATTACTGAAAAATTGTACAAATTTCGGTAAGTTAGTGAAAAATGGTATGTTTGAAACTTATT